TCAACATAGTTCTCGAAACACTGGCCAGAGCAATTAGACAGAAGGAAGAAATTAAAGGCATCAAAATAGGAAAAGAAGAACTTAAATTATCACTATTTGCAGTTGACATGATTCTATACCTAGCAGACCCAAAAGGCTCTACAAAGAAACTATTAGAGCTAATAAATGAATTCAGCAAAGTGGCAGGATATAAAATCAACACGCATAAATCAAAGGCATTCCTGTATATCAGCGACAAATCCTCTGAAATGGAAATGAGGACAACCACTCCATTCACAATATCCTCAAAAAAAAAAAAAATAAATAAAATACTTGGGAATCAACCTAACAAAAGAGGTGAAAGAGTTATACAATGAAAACTACAGAACCCTAAAGAGAGAAATAGAAGAAGATCTTAGAAGATGGAAAAATATACCCTGTTCATGGATAGGCAGAACTAACATCATCAAAATGGCGATATTACCAAAAGTTCTCTATAGGTTTAATGCAATGCCAATCAAAATCCCAACGGCATTTCTTGTAGAAATAGAGAAAGCAATCATGAAATTCATATGGAAAAATAAAAGACCCAGAATAGCAAAAGCAACTCTATGCAGGAAGTGTGAATCAGGCGGTATAGCGATACCAGACTTCAAACTATACTACAGAGCAATAGTAACAAAAACAGCATGGTACTGGTACCAAAACAGGCGGGTGGACCAATGGTACAGAATAGAGGACACAGAAACCAATCCACAAAACTACAACTATCTTATATTTGATAAAGGGGCTAAAAGCATGCAATGGAGGAAGGATAGCATCTTCAAGAAATGGTGCTGGGAAAACTGGAAATCCATATGCAACAAAATGAAACTGAATCCCTTTCTCTTGCCATGCACAAAAGTTAATTCAAAATGGATCAAGGAGATTGATATCAAATCAGAGACACGCCGTCTGATAGAAGAAAAAGTTGGCTACGATCTACATACTGTGGGGTTGGGCTCCAAATTCCTCAATAGGACACCCATAGCACAAAAGTTAATAACTAGAATCAACAAATGGGACTTACTTAAACTAAAAAGTTTTTTATCAGCAAAAGAAACAATAAGAGAGGTAAATAGGGAGCCTACATTCTGGGAACAAATCTTTACTCCTCACACTTCAGATAGAGCCCTAATATCCAGAGTATACAAAGAGCTCAAAAAATTAGACAATAAGAGAACAAATAACCCAATCAACAAATGGGCCAAGGACCTGAACAGACACTTCTCAGAGGAGGACATACAATCAATCAACAAGTACATGAAAAAGTGCTCACCATCTCTAGCAGTCAGAGAAATGCAAATCAAAACCACCCTAAGATACCATCTCACTCCAGTAAGATTGGCAGCCATTATGAAGTCAAACAGCAACAAGTGCTGGCCAGGATGTTGGGAAAAGGGTACACTTGTACATTGCTGGTGGGACTGCAAATTGGTGCAGCCAATTTGGAAAGCAGTATGGAGATTTCTTGGAAAGCTGGGAATGGAGCCACCATTTGACCCAGCTATTCCCCTTCTCGGTCTATTCCCTAAAGACCTAATAAGAGCATGCTACAGGGACACTGCTACATCGATGTTCATAGCAGCACAATTCACAATAGCTAGACTGTGGAACCCACCTAGATGCCCTTCAATTGACGAATGGATAAAAAAAATGTGGCATTTATACACAATGGAGTATTACTCTGCATTAAAAATGACAAAATCATAGAATTTGCAGGGAAATGGATGGCATTAGAGCAGATTATGCTAAGTGAAGCTAGCCAATCCCTAAAAAACAAATGCCAAATGTCTTCTTTGATATAAGGAGAGTAACTAAGATCAGAGTAGGGACGAAGAGCAGGAGAAGAAGATTAACATTTAACAGGGATGAGAGGTGGGAGGGAAAGGGAGAGAGAAGGGAAATTGCATGGAAATAGAAGGAGACCCTCAGGGTTATACAAAATTACATACAAGAGGAAGTGAGGGGAAAGGGAAAAAATAATACAAGGGGGAGAAATGAATGACAGTAGAGGGGGTAGAGAGAGAAGAGGGGAGGGGAGGGGAGGGGATGGGGGATAGTAGAGGATAGGAAAGGCAGCAGAATACAACAGACACTAGTATGGCAACATGTAAATCAATGGATGTGTAACTGATATGATTCTGCAATCTGTATAAGGGGTAAAAATGGGAGTTCATAACCCACTTGAATCAAAGTGTGAAATATGATATATCAAGAACTATGTAATGTTTTGAACAACCAACAATAAAAAATTTTAAAAAAAGAAAAAAAAAGAACTATGTAATGTTTTGAACAACCAACAATAAAAAAATAAAAAAAAAATCTTTCAAAGGGTTAAGGTGGTAAAACTCAAGGGAAGATTTAACAACTTTTTTTAGTTGAAAAAGTTGAAACTGACTAACAACACATGACAATATGAACTGGATCTTCTTTTTATTAGAAAATAGAGACAATCAGTGAAATTTGAATGAGACTCTCAGTATTAAATGTATTGATATTAACTTCCTGATTTTGATGCTTGTATCATGTATATTTTGGGAAATGTACATCAAATTTTCAGAAGATGAGGCATTATGTTAGCAACTTACTCTCAGATTATTCAGGAACAAAAGCCTTCTACACAGGTTTATTTTTATTTAAAATATTATATTATATTTAAAATAAAAATGAAAAAAAATTATAGCTGTTGATGATAGGCAGAGAAAAGCCAACACTTTAAATCATGTTCTACAAATTCCTGAGGAAGAAAACAAAGCAACCGACCCAAGAAATAAAAGTGTCATTCAAGAATACATTCCTAGACTATACCGAAATTTCATCTCACTCCAATCAGAATGGCAGTCATCAAGAATAGAAATAATAATAAATGCTAGAGAGGAGGCGGGAAAAAGGAACACTTTTACACTGTTGGTAGGCTGTAAATTAGCACAACAACTATGGAAATCGATATAGACGTTCCTTAAAACTCAGCATGGAACCACCAAAAGACCCAGCTATAACAATTTTTGGTCTAAAGGATTTAAATCATCACACTATAATAATACATGTATACTCATATTTATATTAGCACACTTTGTAATAGCCAAATTATGAAGCCAAACTAGGTGTCCGTCAATGGATAAATGGATAAAGTAGGTTTTCATGGCTATGAATTTTGAAATTGTTCTTCTATCAGTGTATCAGTTTTTAAAATTTTAAATTAACTATGGAAAGCACCTAGGTTTTCATTTTCTTATATGAAGATTAATTATAATGGTAAGATAGAACAAATTAAAAATTTGATATAAGTAGTACAAAAATCTATTATTTTTTTAAAAAATTGACTCTTTAAGGAAGAAATTTATGTGTCTTTCTTTCAATTTTTGTTTCATCACTGTCATAAAACTTTTAACCAGATCAAAAGCCTATGCCTGAGGGCCAAGAATAACATTCAGAAAAGCTTTATCAAAGAAATATGAAAAAATCTATGTAATAATCATTCATTTACTTTGCATACAGGAGGGAGTAAGATATTTAATTAAACTTAATTTCTCATATTCATGATATTTACTATTTTGAGTAGTAAACCTAATAAACTTTTCTCCCATTCTCCTTTAAAAAATAATAATAAAAAATAAAATTCTACATGAACCAAAAATTTTTAAAAAAGAAAATGTGACATATTTACAATAATGGAGTTTTATTCAGCCATAAAATAATGGAAATTATGTAATTTGCAGGAAAGTACATAAAACTTGAGAACATTATGTTAAGGGAAATAAGCCAACTCAGAAGGTCAAAAGTCCTGTGTTTTCTCTCATATGTGGAAGCTAGAGAGGATAAAGAAAAAAAAAAAGCAAGAAAAAAGATCAATATAATAAAGGGGACTGAGCAAGGAAGAAGGGGAGGGAAAGGGGAAATACTGGGGAATGACTTTGACCAAATATTGTTATCTTTTGTGCATATATGAATATGTAGCAACAGATCTCACTATTATGTGTAATTATACTGCAACTTTAAGAAAACAGGGGAAAAGAATACATTTCCTATAATAAGAGATTTGAAGCTGCATATTACGAGAAATGTGAGGTTCTTGGGAAAATCAACCCAGAATGACTAAATTCGAAACACATTCCAGTATATTATTAGATGTTAACTTAGAAAAGTGTTTGAGTCTTTAGGCAAAAAGACTAAGTCACTTATAAGAGAATGATAATCATACTGTAAACAAACTTTTTTACAATATTTTTTCCATCAATTAATGAAGTAACATACTTAGGAAACATGAAAACACAAAATGAGAGTTGAAAATTTATATCCAGCAAAATGATTTCACAGATAAAGACAGCAGATAAAATTTTCAGAAGGTGAAAGTAATAAAGAAATATTATGCCTATAGTTTTTCCTCAAGAATTCATTAGGGAATGTACTCTAGACAACCAAAATGCTTGGAGAGCTATCAATGTAAGAAATGACATCAAGCATCAAGTATGTGTTTACATTTAGCATAAAAAAACACAGTTTATAAAGGAGACAGTGTATTGTACATGTTACATGCTCTGAAAATGTAGATACAATAAAAATGATTTAAAAAACAGTTCCTAATTAATATCAATTTTTCTTTTTGTTCTTTTTCTCAGTGTACTATCCACAGTTTCACACACATCCACTTAGCCACATCCAAGCCACCCCAATCTACTCTCCGATTTCTGTGCTCATTTTTCCATTCTCAGCCTAAGCTTCACAGTGTACTGCTCACAACCCTCCCGCGAAATACCATCTGATCTACACAGCTCAGGAGGCTTCTCTCTTCCCCTGTCACTTACCTGACTCCCATTCTTCAGAAATCCAAAGTTGTATGTAACTCACTTGGGAGCTACAACAGGTCAACAACTGACCTTTATTTTGTTCCTAGAACTATTTTATCCATGCCATTATTTTAAATCATAAATTATTCATCTTGTGAATGCTGAATACATTTTCATTTGCTTGCCTTTTAGATTCAGGAGAGATCACAATTGCCTATCCTTTGGATTATGAGGATGTAGCCACCCCAAAGTCTTGGGTATTATATATTAGAGCTTATGACAACAAACGGATGCATTCAACAACTGGGTCACTCACAGTGATACTACAAGATGTGAATGACAATCCACCTCAGTGCTCACAGGATATTTACACGTAAGTTACAGGAGCAATTATGTGAGTTTCGGATTTTGTCAAAGATAAAAGAAAGAAATAAAGAGTAACCATCATGCCATCCCTGGTGGAAGCAGAAGCCCTTCATTCTTTCCTCATCTTATTTTCAGATAATATGCAGCTTCTCTTTCTTTTTCCTCACTGAAACAAGTGGATCTGCTTTTATTTGCTCTCAAAAAACAATGTATAAAAACAAGTCTCAAATGCTCTAAAATCTGAAATTCTTTGAGTGCTCACATGATATCAGATTTTGGATTTTTGGATTACAAATGATTAACTCGTATATAGAAAACCTGAGGAAACCATAGAAATGTGTGCTTCCAGCATCAAAAGGTCACCAGGATGGGATTAATGTCAACTACATGCAATAAAATTTAGATAGTTCTGCAAGTGTTGAAAGGGAAGCTCCTGATTCATCAGAATTTTTACTTTAATAGCAGAAATAATATTTTATATGTTATGAAAGGTTTGGGGTAGTTTGCCCTCAAATTACTTATCTTCTATTTTAAACAATATTTTGTGGAAAAAAACGCAGAATATGTACTTGATCATTTTATAGTAATAAAACAGTAAAAAAAATCCAAATATGAAAAAAGTGTCTTTGCTCTGCTGTACTTCAAGATTCAACTTTTATGATCTCATAGAAGTCAGTAGTCAAATGGTGGCTATTAGAGGCTGGTGCAGCAGTGGGAAGGACAGAAAGTACCTGATCGACAGGTACTAAGTTTCAGTTAAATTAGTAAGTACTGGTGTGCTATTGCATAACAGGGTGACTATAGATAATGGTAACATGTGGTGAATTTCAAAAGCTGAAAGAAAGGATTTCAAAAGCTTTCACCATAAAAATGATAAATGTTTGAAGTGACAGATATGTTTAAACATTGCACAGGGTATGCATATATTAAAACATCACACAGTACTCATGAATATGTATCATTTTCATGTTTTTATGTACCAGGTAAAAAATAAATTTAAGGTTCAAAAAGAATCAAGTTTTACTTTGTAAACTTTTTGTCCCTGTTGTTTTGCTAAAAAAAAAAAAAGGCTGAAATAACAAACAATATTTCTGCACACTCTGTAGTAGTTCCCTTTCACTTTTTTTTTTTTTTTTTTTTTTTTTTTGGCAGGGGGTGAGGATACCAGGGATTAAACTCTGGGGTACTTGACCACAGAGCCACATCCCCAGACCTATTTTCTATTTTTATTTAGAGATGGGGTCTCACTGAGTTGCTTAGCATCTCACTTTTGCTGAGGCTGGCTTTGAACTTGAGATCTTCCTGTCTCACCCTGCAGAGTCGCTAGGATTACAGGCTTGTGCCACTGTGCCTGGCTTCCCTTCTCTTTCTATTCCAGCTAGTAGCCTATAGATTCTTATTGAAGGAATATTATAAAATTTAGTTTCCAGAACATTCTTCACGTTAACAAATTAAAAAATTCATCTTTTATTTCATTATTTTTTAGTACTAAGGCATTTTCAATGATTAAATTAATAATACCTTTTGACAACTGAGGAAAACATACAATTATAGTCATTTGAACTCATCACAATATTTTCCACTTAATTGCTGTTAATGAATTAAACGTACATATCAACGGCTAAATTTAATAAGCATGTCCTTGCCTCTTATGGGAAGAACAGCACAGGTTTGTTGGCCATACTGTTGGCACTCCTCCACACTGATTCAGGGATCCCAGTTTGTTCAGTAATTTTGCTTTGCAATGTTATTTCCTTTTTCTCCCCACCACATGGACAGAAGGGAGGGAGAACATGTGGAAAGTACTCCAAATTGTAACTATCTTACCTAGAGCTGATGCACAGTCTTCCTTTGCATTTCACTTGCCAGTAGACTCCATATAAGCCAAGTGCAGGAGCTATAAGGAAAGTGGGACATACAGAGGGAAATATGAATATTGGTCAGAATCAACAGTTCCAGCTCACTCTCCTGTAAATTTAATAGCAAGGAATTCTCAGTACCTTATTTTAAAAAATTAAGACAATGATATGGTATCTGCTACAGGGTACAAATTGTCATTTTGTTCAATAATATATATATATATATATATATATATATATATATATATATTTTACTAATTTGCTGCTTATTTATTCAACATAATAATACTTCATTTCCTTTGGCCTCAACAAGAATGCCAGATGATTTATTATACAATTCTTTATCAACACTATGATTTTCTTATTGGCAAAGTGGTTATTTAAACTGTGAACACATTTTAAAACATCTTTTATGCTAAATATTATCATCTGCATAAATCTTGATTAACATGTTATACCACATTTTTTCCTGTGTTTTACTCATTACAGAATTGAACTTCCTGAAAACATCCCATCTGAAACTCTATTAGTCTCTCTAACATGCACAGATAAGGATGCAACTCTTCCTAATAACAACATAGCTTATCATTTGATTATGGATACTTTTTCAAATAAAACCTTTACTCTCACTAACAATGAACTGAGGGTAAGTATTTTAAAGTTGCTCTCTGAATGTGACCCTGTAATTAACCTTAAATAGAAAAACATTTTATTTTTATTATTATTAAATTCTTAATGAACTACAGTAGTTCAAATAGCTGATGGCAGAATTTGTTCCTGAATTTTCAACTGAACCTGAAATTGCCAACAACATATCTTGCTTTGAGATGAACAATGGAATGCAATTTTAATCTTGCGAACTGAACTAGGAAGGTTACAAATTTCCTTCAACAAATGGTTCTGTGATGGAATACTGTCTACTCCTTTGGGTTGTTTTGGATATATTATGTTGGATATATATATTAATAAATATATAATAAATATATTAAATAACTAGTGAGGTTGGTATATAATTAGAATAATTGTGCATACTTATTGCTATATCCTGGAATATGCAGTAGGTAAAATATTTTACCAATTGGGGAAATATAGATTTTATTTCCTGTAAGTTTTGAGGATAAAGTCATTCAACAAGTTGCTATATCATATATTTTTTAAAAAAACAGGAAATTAAATTATGTACTGTGTTCAACACAGTGATAAAAATGTTGCTTATCTGAACAATTAGCTTATGAACAACACAACATGGACTAGATGAGTGAAATATAAGTAAGAAGTACTTTTTCACTTAGTTTTTATACTGATTTAATTGAAATTGAACTTCTACCCAAGATGCATGTCAAACAAACCCCTATATCTTTACCACTTGCTGTCCCACACTGTGATTGAGGCAGAGAATAATTTTCATGACATTAAAATACTGTGATGTCTTTCAGTTCTGCCTTTCAATCTTAATGCTGTTCAAAATCCACCCTAGCTTTTTTTTGTGTCCCCATTTCCCATGTCCCCTTTTGCACAACCTTCATAATTTGCATTAACATTTCTTTTAGGAAGCCATCCCTGATGTTTCTTCTCTTTCATGTTTGGATGAGGTGCCTCTCCTTGGCTTCTCACAGCATTTTATAGCTCTCTAACCTTGGCACTAATCACATATTTCACCTCTGTTTTCCCAATTAGAGTAAAAGAAGAAAGTTTGTTATTAAACTAGGAGTATGACATATTTGGTGCTGGTTGGATACATATTAATCAAGACTGCATTAATGAATCATAAATAAACAAAATTGAAATTTCAAATCATTTTTAAGCCATTGACAGGATTTAGTAACAAATTATTGCCAAGTGCATCAAGGTTACCTTTTCACAATTCTTTGTAGTAAGAAGATATTGCTGATATGACCAGAATATTAAAATAGATTCATATAAACTATATTATATATATATATATATATATATATATATATATATATATATATATATATATACACACACACACACACACACACATACATATACATATACTGATAATAATGAAAAATAATGTGGTATCAAAATATTCTCAATTAGGAAGGTAAAAATCATGGCACTATGTAATATATCTTTGAATTCTTCCTATTTGGACAACTCTAACAAAAATGAAACAAAATAACCAAAATTATACAAATAAACAATAGCAAAATTATTGTATTGGATATACTCTAATTTTGACTAAACATAAATCCAGTCTCAATATTCACAGAATGAAAACCATTGATTCCCCTACCTTTCCCTGGAGATTGTAGAATATGAACTTCAATTAACTTACTGATATGTGATATAACCCCTTTATCTTTTTCTCCCAATTACTATATGACTGGATTGAATATAATTGCAATTCTCTTAAATGGGATATTAAATTCAAAAAGGGTTATTAAGATGGTTACATGCTAATCTTGCTATAGCAGCAAGGGAAGAAAAGCCAGTTTGTAAAAAGAAAGACAATTTTAATGCTTAGTGAATTAAACATTTATTAGCAGAATATAGAAAGAAAACCTATTTAGTTTTCCAAAAATGCTTAAGTTTTAAGATCACGAAAGACTACAATCTAGAACTTGAATTTTTTAAAATGTAAATGTAGAGGTGATTAGTTCTTTTTACCATCCTTTGGCATGTGTATTATATTAAGAGGAGAAACAGCTCTAGCAGTCATTCAAAATGTGGACTTATAATAAACATCAAAACTTTATTTTAAAATAATGATTACAGCTCTAGTAGATTAGTGTATATTAACTTAAAGTTATCTCAATTAATTAAGGAATGATTTTCACCAGGATACCAGGAATAAATGTATAATTTTAATGTTTAACAGTGAATTACTATTTAATTAATCCAAATGATTTCATATGCAATAGATTTAACTTTTAAGTAAGGTAATGAAATGAATATTTCTCTAAGTCAGTATTGTTAGTCTTGTATTTTATTAGGTTATTTCTCTTTAATGGACATTGATGTGAAAAAATCACCCCATCCTATGTATTTTGTTAGTCATTCCATTCTTAATTACTATTGTCTAAGGATGATCTGATATTTTTAAGATAACATAATTAACAGATTTGCAAATTATGCAGCACAGTAATGAAATGAATCACTGAATCCATCCTTGCACTTCAGAATTACAAAATCACTAACACCAATTTACCTGTTCCCACCCTTCTCCTTGTGAAACTGGAGTTTTGAGAGGAAACTCATTCTCTGACAGGTGGTGGATGGGGTCTGCTAAGATTGCGGGCCTCTGCAGCCAAGAAGTGTTGCAGCTCTTAATATCTGGCCATGCCCTCCAATGTTGCAGCAGACCCCAGAGACTTACCTTCAATTTCTTCTTCTTTCTGGGTTCTTGTCTTGTGAAAGCCTCAGACCAGAATGAGTGAGTGTAAGAGCAGGATTTAACTGATAGTTAGGAACAGAACTCTAGCAGTGCTGGAAAGGACCTGAAAGCAGGTTTTCTCCCTCCAACTGTACTAGTTTAGGTGTTTATATAGTTTTTGGGCCACTGCTATTGGTCCAAATTTATGTTAATTATGGTTTGAAAAGAGTACCAATGTAATTGGTCTAAGTTGATGCTAATTAAGGTTTGGAATCACAAATGCTATTGGTCAGCTCTTGAGCCCCGATTTCCATTCAGGTCAGCCTCCCTTCCATTTTCTTGCCACCAGTCAGGAAGCCACAGGTTGAGGTTCTGGGGTGTTCCATGTTTGCAGGTTCTGGGCAGCAGTACTGTGTGGAGTAGGCTCCTGAAGCAGGGTACCAGTATTATGCCCAGGCCTGGCTGAAGGATGATAGTTTGGCAAGCCTTGCCTCACAGTGCCTCAAGCCCACCACGCCTGTGTGGTGGGGGGCAGGGCTTACTCCTTCAGCCCCACCCATCTGGGCTGCCACTTTTCAGCTCCACTACTCCTTTGCCAGTTCTGGGCAGGGACCCATAGGCCGGCAGCATAGCTTAGTAGCCAGGGAGCCCTGTCACTTATCTTCCTGAGAAAATAGGTATATTGAATTTTGTGTTTGTTACTACCTCGAGGAATTTAGTTTTATCAACCATGTATGTATTCCTGAACTATATTGAAAAGCTTTAAAAGAAATTATATAATATATGCAGATTCATAACTTGATATTTATGTTGTGCTTCTAATGACTGTCTCTATACAGGTCATATCAATCAATATGATTATTATAATGTTCCATATTATTCTTTAATATTCTATTGGGTGATTCTAGTCTTTCTCCCAAAAATGCAAGTTTGAAGTTCCTTCTAATTTTTGCTTATTATGTGTAATATTATTATGAATATTATTATGCATTTCCTTTGGTTCTTTCATGCAACATGTACTCTAGGTTATATCATTTAATTACATGAAGTAGTGTCAAGTTGTTTTCCATATTGGTTGGTTGTATCAGCTTGAACTCTCATCAGCAATGTTTAAGCATGGTTCTTCTTCAGTGCCTTATTTCAATATCTGGTATTCTCATACATATTACGATGTTTAGCTTGTTTGGTAATAAGATTGTAGATCTTTTTATATATTCACCATTGTGTGAATAAACAACAAGTCTTTGGACAGGGTACTTGTATGAACAGGATGAACATGTATTTATCCATTATTGCTTTATTTTCCTTATTGATTTGTATGATGTATTCAAGCATAATATGATATAGGATATTTTCCTATAAATATTTTAACCAATGACCTTCATACCTAAATTGTTGGAAAAACAGGCATTAATTTTGTGGTTTGGAAGTTAGCAAGGAGTCAATTAACTTTTTTTTTTTACCATTTGGAATATTAACTCTCCCAGTAACATTTCTGAAGGGCTCTGCCATGTTATATTTATTTATCCATATTTATTTGTGTGTGCCTTTGATTATCTTCTTATAGTAGTTGTAGTTTTTCTCAATGTTCAATTTATTTCTATTTTCCACATTGCCATAGTATAAACAGGGTGAGAAAAAGCATGTAGTAATTTTGGAGGACAATTACCAGGGTGAACTACTAACTTTCTGACTGATACCTGGTTCAGTGCCATTGCCGTTCTTTATGTTACCTTCCTTTGGCCACTTAGAATGCAGACTACAGAATGTTAACATTGAAAAGGACCTTATAGACCACCTAATATTCTTCTTCATGCACAAATAAATTATTTTTTTTTCTCCCACTTGACTTATTTACAGTCCCTCATTTCTCAAATTCTTGAAACCCAGAATCTTAAGAAAACAATGCTCTTCACCTATGCTTTTCTGTCCCAACTAATCACTTAATTGCTACACATAACTCCCCTGCCTAATAATGCTGACTGGTTTGAAAAACAGTTAATGTGGATGTGGCTGACACATGAAAAGGACCTCAGAAAAGCTTGGAGGCACAGAATGCAATCATATTATTTCCACTCTTCCCTTAGATGGTCTCACAACTAGTCTATTCTATGACCACCCAGAGGATTGTGTGATTATGCATGAGCTGTGGAGGGAAGACTCTCAGATTCCCCCTTACATTTAACATTGTTAAAGATCCTGAAAACATCATGCCTGCCCTGCACATCCTTCCCTGGAGAGTAAAGGGAAAGAGCAAAAATATGAGATGCTTTGACCTCTCTCACAGAGTCAGTCTCAAGTTCTGTTTTTGCATGATTTTGAAGCTTGCAATTCAAAGCTTACTTCTGGGAGATTATTCCCACTAATACTAACCCAGATCTAATTCATTTTGAAAGAATGTTAAGAAAGTCATGACAGCTTCTTTTAACAAATCTTAAATACATAACATAGTAACTACAGATGCTTCTCGACTTATAATGGGGTTATGTTCAGATTAAACTCATCATAAATTGTAAATGTTGTAAGTTGAAAATGCATGTAATAACTGACCCTAAGGAACATCACAGCTTATCAACATAGAACACTGCAGAAAATTGATTGGTTCCCCTCATGATGGGTGTAGCTGACAGAGTTATGGTTAACTGCCATTGCCCAGACTCAAAAGAGAATATCATACTACTAATCACTAGCCCAGGAATCAAGATTCAAAACTTGAAGTACATTTCTACTAAATACACATCATTTTGGCACTACTGTAAAACTCTTGTAAGTTTAACCATAGTAATTTGGAGATCATCTGTGTTTATGAAGATATTGTAGGAAATGGGGAAACCTATAGTAAATGAATCAGTGAAAACAAAAGAACATGAAATATAATACCCTAGTTTTGCTATTATTATACTTGACAATATAACTTAAGAATATAAACTACCCAAATATGTAATAATATTAATTTAAATAAATTTATAGAAGCCTATAGCTATGTATGCCTTGGAATTCCAGAAATGTGGTTTATTCAAATGAAAATAAGCTGCATTGTGAAATAAGTCATGGATTTCACAGAGTTAGTACTAACAAACAAATGTCAACATCTCCAATATTTTTGATGTTATTACATGTTGATATGACAGTATTTTGTATATGTTTGATTAAATAAGAATCTTTATTAAAGTTAATTTCACTTGTTTTTAATTTTTAAATGGGATCCTAGAAAAGTTAAAATCACACATGCAACTTGTGCTTGTGGACCATATTCTATTTCTATTGCACAGTACTGTGTACATCCTCATTTTTCACTTATTTGTCACATCTCTTAGCTTTGGATTCATGTAGTTGAAAAATAGATGTTTAATCAAAATTGTTGTTCATATTTTTCACCTACAGATTGGATCTACACATTTAGATTTTGATAATGCTATTTTTGCAGGAATGCACTTCAAATATACATTGTTTGTGAGGGTTTCTGATGAAGGAAGTCCTGCACTCTCAAGTAAGAAGTTAACAAATTGAAATGTTAAATAATTTGAGTTACATAAAATGCCTAGTATTTTTCTTAGTATTTTATATTTAAAATCTTCCTATGATCTGTTGCATTAAAGCATATAGATTGATATTATATTAACTTATTTACTGCATATGTACTACTATTTATAACCCAGAAGACTAAATTAAAACTGGAACCAGGTTAGATAATAATGTTCAAATGTGTCATATAGAAATTTGCAGTTATTTGAAGATGATGTCAAAGATGAACTTTTCTGTAATCTTTGTGTATTTGAAAGATTTCCAAATAATTTTTTAAAATTCTGCATTAGATAAAATACTAATATTCAGATTCTCAGAGTAAATTGCATTTCCTTTATTATTGACTATATTGTCAGGATGGAATAATATAATCATATTCCAATCATTGAACATTATGTTGTCCATGATAAACTGTGATTTTTAATTTAGAATATATGATTAGTATAATCATACTATAGAACACAGTTGTTTTGACAGGTGTTCAAAAGCAGTTAATAAAGTATTTTAATCTAAATTTAGCTTTAAATGCTCTATAATTTAAAAGGTAAAATTTAATAATGAAACATCAACATAAATATGTTTTGTAATCCAAATATTTAATATTTAAGGTATTAGTAAAACAGAAAAGGAAAATAAAGAATATCAGAGACATGATTACCCTAACTATGTTGTTTATGTATTTTTTTCCATAGCTATTCTTACAATCATTGTAAGGGTGAGTCGCATAAATGAACTGAATCCAGTTGGAACTACATCGGTTACCTTCAGTATATTTGAAAATAGTCCAGTTGATGCACTAGTTGGAAAAATTACATTTACAGATGCAGACTGGCCATTTAACAACTTAAAATATACCATTGTTGGAGGCAATGTGGGAACTCCTCCCAAATTTTACATTGAACCAGATACAGGTATTGTAAAAAAACATCAATCAGTAATAAAAATAAAGAGGTCACATGTGCTCATTTGGAATCTATTTTATATAGAAATGGTGAGAATTAGACCATCTTCAATAAACTCTCTCTTGAATTATGCTGTCTTCACCTTGATGTGTGACATGTATCTGTAAATTCTCAGGTACTATAAGGAAAGTATGGATACTCTGATCTTTGAAATATTGAACTCCAGAAAGTCTGTGTGCATGTATGGCCTATATACCTAATAATGTGACTAAAAGACTATGAAATAACATCTGTTGTGATTTGGCTGCAAAATTATGCTTTGGAAGTATGAATGTATAACTACATTGTTTTGTACTAGTTAATTTCCATTTGTTATTGTAATGATTATATTTCATTTATATAGTTCATAATTCAGCATACATTGAGGATGTTTGGTAATACTGGGGTAACAAGTTTCCCATTATTTTCGTGTCAGGCATGATAAAGCTACTAGATTCACTAGACAGGGAAGTGGAATCACAGTATAAGATAACCGTGAGGATTGTAGACTTGGACAACGATGCCATTCCTGACCCCTTCAGACAAAGAAGGGCTACTGCTCAGGTGACCATCAATGTTCTGGTAAGAATGAGTTACTTCTTATGATGCTATTATCCTTTAGTAGGCACATATTCTTGGGAAATAAAATTAAAGGATGGATGCGAATGGTTTTAGTTCAGTGCCCTCAACATGGACCTAAACTCATAGAGTGATGCAATTTTTACTGTAACAAACAATGATAAAATTAACACTATATGCAAACTAATCAATTTGACTTATAAGATAATTTGATTATCCTATAAATCTGAAGTTAGATAAAGAATGCCTGATACCTCTGGTTGTATTTAAGTTGAAGGAAGAATCAGTCTGTGGATAAATATATTTTCATAAACAAAGAAACTTATACTCTTAGAGTTTTTGGAGGTTGCTCTGACACATTTTAATCTGTTTCTCTGTCTCTCCCTCTGGTTTTCACTGAACAAATATCTTAATATTTTCACTAGTAAAGATTCTGAGACATCTGCTACAGAGTTTCAAAAACATGAAGCAGAAAGGAAAGGACTTCTAAGTGTTTTTAAAATATTTAATGCAAGAATAAATTTGACTTGGCTTGTTCAACACTTACATCAATACAGTTCCATACATTAATTGGTGGAACTGTACAGAAAGAAAAAAATGTTACAGAGAGTGCCAGTTTTTCTTTATCTTATGGTGTTGTTTGCATTCTTTTTTGCTACTTGAGAACAGTATGAATTCCAGCCCTGGATCCTTTAGAAAAGGCAATAACATCTAATAAAAGAAGATTTAAAGCCACAGACATAGTTTAGAGACTGTGCATACTCCTGCATGGTGAACACTTTCATATGTGCTCTTGGTGAGCTAAAATAGTCAGCATTGTCCATGACTCAGTGTTATAATTCCCACCATAGGCCCATTATGTCTGGAAAACACAATAAACCAGGCCAAAATCTTTGTGGAGAGAAATTTAATGAAGTGACTCGAATGGTTTCAACCATGACTCAATAATGTTAGAAGCTAATGAACCTCTTTTCCTTACGCAAGATTCCAAAATAATACACCCCAAGTATACTGAGTTATAGCTCGAGTATCAGTATTATGCCCTTGTTGCCTGTACTACTTTAAACTGGTTATTGCCATTTTCATTTTGTGTGTAAACCCCTATGTTCCAGTAGGGATGAGAGAAAAGTATCTCTTTGTTCTTCATCTATCAAACCATTCAGATTTCTTCTTTTATGAAACTAAAAAGAATTTACACAGGAATGAGTACTGAATTTCTTGAGATGCGGCAAAAACTATACATTTCCTACCATCTTATGGGTGGGCTTAACTTATGCCTGAGATGTCATTATTGAATTTAAATATCTTTTTCTAATACTTTCAAACAAACTTGGGGTGGAAAACCATAAAAATATTTCAGAAAAATAAGTTGAGGTCCATATTCCCCAATACAATGCAGTTGTTTATAAAGTAGACCTTGTTCCCAAAAGGGAACATATGAAGAGAAACATAATAATACAACTTCATTCATAGGTAAGTCTGTGAATCTAGATTTCATCCATAGAAATGAACAAACAGCAAAAATCTGTCTTTAATAAAATAAAAGATTACCCCTTTTATGAACTGACTGATTACACTCCATCTCAAAACCATACATTGAAGCTCTAAACCCAGTGTGATGTCTTTGAGAGTTATTTGTATTTGTGTTAGGATTTTAAAAATTCTTTTTAAAATAAAAAAATAGAATAGAAAACATAACAGTATACTTTGACATATTATACATGCACAAAATATAACTTATTCTAATTAGGATTCCACTCTTGCAGTTGTACTTGATGTGGAGTTTCACTGGTCATGTATTCATATATGCACATAGGAAAGTTATGTCCAATTCATTCTACTGTCTTCCTATTCCCATCGTCCCTCCCTTCCCTTATTTCTCTTTGTCTAATCCAGTGAACTTCTATTTTTAGCATCTGCATATCTGAAAGAACATTTGGCCTTTGATTTTGGGGTGATTGGCTTATTTCACTTAGCACGATAGTCTCCAGTTCCATCCCTTTACCAGCAAATGCCATAATTTCATTCTTCTTTTGCTGAGTAATATTCCATTGTGCATTTATACTACATTTTCTTTAGCCATTCTTCTATTGAAGGGTACCAAGGTTGGTTTCATAGTTTAGCTATTGTGAATTGAGCTGCTATAAACATAGATGTGGCTGCATCACTGTAGTATGATAATTTTAAGTCTTTTGGATATATACCGAGGAGGGCATAACTGGGTCAACTGGTGGTTCCATTCTAAGTTTTCTGAGGAATCGCCATACAGATTTCCAGAGTTGTTGCACCAGTTTGCAGTTCCACCCAGCAAAATGTATAAGTTTACCTTTCCCCCCACATCCTCATCAGCACTTATTATTGCTTGTATTGCCATTCTGATTGGAGTGAAATGGAATCTCAGTGTAGTTTTAATTTGCATTTATTTAATTGTTAGATATATTGAACATGTTTTCATGTATTTGTTGACCATTATTATTTCTTCTTCTGTGAGTGCCTGTTCAGTTCCTTTGCTCATTTGTTGATTGGGTTATTTGTTTTTTGGTGTTAAGTTTTCTGAGATCTTTGTATATCCTGGAAATTAATGCTCTATCTGAGGTGCAGCTGGCAAAGATTTTCTCCTATTCTGTAGGCTCTCTCTTCATGTTCTTGATTGTTTGCTTTGTTGTGAAGAAGCTTTTTAGTTTTTAGTTTGATACCATCTCATTTCTCGATTATTGATTTTACTTCTTGTACTTTAGGAGTCTTGTTGAGGCGTGTTAAGATTTAGAGGTAGATGAAGAGATCATGAGGCTCCATCCTGATGGGATTAGTTTTCTTTTAGGTAGAGACAACAGAGAGTTTACTTTCCCCTGCAAGTGAGGGTCACATGAGAATGTGATTGCCTGCACCCTGGAAAATACCCTTACCAGAGACTAAGCACTGCTAGACCTTGATGACTTCCCACTCTCTGGAACAGTGTTATGGTTTAGATGTGAGGTGTCACTCAAAAGTTCATGTGTGAGACAGGCAAGGTTTAGAGGTTAAATGATTGGGTTATGAGAGCCTTCATCCAGTCACTGAATTAATCCCCTGGCAAGGATTAACTGGGTGGTAACTGCAGGAAGGTAGAGTGTGGCTGGAGGAGGTGGGTCCCTAGGGACTGCCTTTGGGGTATATATTTTGTTCTTGTTGAGAACAAGCTCTCTCTGCTTCCTTGCCATGTCCTGAGCCACTTTTCTCCCCCACACTTCTGCCTTGATGTTCTGCCTCACTTTATGGCCCAAGAAATGGAGCCAGCAGTCTATGGACTGAGACCTCTGAAACAATGAACCCCCAAATAAACTTTTCACCCTCTATTTGTTTTTTTGAGGTCTTTTTGGTCACAGCAACAAGAGAGCTGACTAAAACAAACTGTGAGAGAATAAATGTGTTTTTTTAAACCCTTAGTCTATGGTTTTGTGTTATGGCAGTGTAAGAAGACTAAGACAAACGCCAATCTGTTTTAGCAAATATACAAAGGTTAGAAATCTATAATATTTTTAAAAGATCTATTCCTTGTCAATACATATATAGGTCAGTGAAATACAACAGTAGGTCTAGGATCCACAATATAAGATAGTAGGTTCATGATAAATTATTACATAAATGGGATTAGAATGACTAATAACTCACTTTGCAAAACAGTTCATATAAAAGGAGGTCTGTCCTGTGACACAAAGCAAGTAACAAAAAGGCAATGTGGTTTTATCTGGTCAAAGACAAAAAGTTTTGTACCTATAGCACTCAGGTAAGTAAATAAGTCTTCACACTAATAATGTGCCTGCCTGGATCTGAAGAAAACCAAATCAAGAATATCTTTACCAATGTCAAAACAAAACAAACAAACAAAAATCCAAACAAAAACAATTTCATAGCATGATCATATATTGTCTATTACACCATAATGTACTTGCTGACAAGAATTTGCATACAAAATTGAAGGCTGTTTTGTCTCCTGCAAAGAGCATGATAAATTTCCTTAGAGGATAGTTTCTAAATCATCGCTGTCTTTTCTGTAATTCTTTTGAAGAAACTGTTACCAAACACATGCCCTTTATTTCCAAACTGGAGTACAGCGACTCTCCCGTGGCCAGATGCTTACTTCATTTCTGGAACGTGGAAAGCTCTGTGATTTTCTTTACATCTAAAATAGTAATAGAATCAATGACTTAGAAGCTAGTGTTTTTCTTTGAGCGTGTTTTTAAGAGTAGTCACACTCTTAAACTTCATTCCTGTTCTAAGTAACTAGTCTGAAAGTACACAGTGATGTCCATACTAAATTTACCTGTTTTTATATATAAAACAACTAGTTTGAAAGGAAATTTTTATCTGTTTACTTCCTAACAGAAAGGTTTTAGAAAATATAGAAATGACCATCCCAACAGTTTAATATCTTCTGGTGGCTATTTTTCTCTTGGATGACTTTTTCGTGTCAAAGAACTAGACATGAATCTATTTATCCTTTTCCCGGATGCCTGTTAACCACGAGAGCCGCTATATGTACAAGTATTTAGTGAATTGCCAAATTTCTTTCACACCCGTTGCATGGTATTTAGAGAACAGATTCTTTAGCCATAGGCCTGAATAAGAATCCCAGCTTCAGCCCTTACTGTGGTGATGTTGGACAAGTAACTGAATCTTTCTTGCCTTGTTTCCTCATTACAAAATGATGGTAAGAGTAGTGTCTACTCACGAAGTAGAGATGAGGCTTTAAAAGACTGAATATAGTTCTGGGAATATAGCTCAGTTTGTAGAGTGCTTGCCTTCCATCCACAAGGCCCTGGGTTCAATTCCCAGCACTACAAGAATAAATAAACCAACAAATAAATAAATAATTAAAAACTGAATATTTTTAAAGCTCTGAGTGGTACATAGTAAACCTATACAAGTTTTCCATAAATGAATAAGCCACATTCCATTTCCACAGCAGGAGAAGAAACTAATGGAAATTGTTCTCTTGAATCTACATATTGTATTGAGATTGG